TTGCTGGGGTCTTCTTTTCTGGTACTGCGGTTGCACTAGATTTTGCTTTTGCTCGTGCGCCATCCTCTTCTACCCTGATGTGCTGATGCACTCTCTCCATCAGGGCTTCCATGGTGAGGGGTGGCGTCATGGTAATTGAATCCCTTAGTCGGTTCCCTACTGGTAGGCCTCTTTTATATTGTGCAATGGCTAGATTGGTGGGGCAGTCTCCAATCTGGTTGAATGTCTCCCAGTAGCGACTGTTGTAAGATCTGAGGGTCTCTTTTTCACCCATGTCGATGGAGAGTAACTGGTCTATCTCCACCGGTGTTTTAGTATTTGTCCGAAACCTTGTTACGAACGCTTCCGCCAGTTGAGCCCAGGAGGCTATGCTGCCTTCTGGAAGTTTTTTGAACCAAGTCAAGCCTAGGTCGCCAAGACTTGATGGGAAGAGTATGCACATTAAGGCCTCGTTTCGCCTGTATACGGCCATGACTTGGCGAAAGTGGCTCAAGTGTGAGTAGGGATCCGTCTTCCCTTCATACGTAGTGAATTTTGGCTGAAGAAAGCCTGATGCGCGTTTTCAATCGCCGGAACAAACGGTGAAGTCTGTAGCCTTGCTAATGCCTTGTCCGTTGGTTCGTAGGCAGGGCGCGGTATTGGCATTCCAACCTCGACGCTTCCATGCGTCCGAGGAGCCAACCGCTGTAAGGCAGAAACTCTGTGCGGATCCCGCGCCCTGGCATCCTCCTTGCATCGTGCTTTCTCTTCGAGCACGGTTCGTAAGTCGGATGATCTGGGTAATTCCGTCTGTCTAGATCTGGTTTGGTGCGAATGCGAGGGCCAATACGTGCTTCCTTCAGTGTATGATCTTTCAGATCTCGTCCTCTCAGACCTGGAGTGACGAGTTCTGGAAGACCAGGATTGAGTGTCACCTGTCCTGAGGCTTCTGCTCTCTCCTTGCGAGGGTGTAGTATTCCTACGATTTTCTGAGTGGCGAGGGGGCGTCTTGTTTTTGCGCCCCTCTCCTGTCGCCACTTCTTTTTTCTTCATCTGGCGTTTCAAGGCCTCCATGTCCGCCGCCATCTTTCTTATCAATTCATCTTGCTCTTTCACGCGATCTTCCAGAGCTTAAGGGTCAATCCTCCGCCTTTGCCTGTCGGGACTTTGAGAATGAGATTGATGGGGGCTGTGAGTCCGTCTTCCCCTAGCATCTCTCCTGGAATTATGTCATTGGAACTCCAAGTCCGCCATGGGAGGGACAGAAGGTAATCCTTCACGCCGTGCACCTCCATCTGGAGTTAGCCCGTCGACGGCAGACTGCGGCAATTCTTCAATGTGTGCCATTGATTGTAAAGGGGAGAAGCTTTAATCAAGAGGTTTTGTTCTGTCTGTTATTCCCACAGACGGCGCCAATTGTACGGGAAAGAAATACACCTTCTCGTATAATCCTGTTGACTAAGTCTGTGCTCCTCCGTACGACGTCGCTTTGTCACCTGAAAACACAAACGTGAGCTAGCCGGCGGGGGTGTGCCGGAAACCTCTCCGATGCCTAAGTCAGCAAACTTGACAAATAGTCAAAGCTCAATGTATTCAAAAAGCAAAATTGTGTGTGTTGTGTTACCTCCTCCAAGGTGATGTTTGTGAGCTTTTATAGGTTTTTTGTGTAGCACAATCCTAGTAGGACTTCTACTCCTCCATGTAGAGTCCTTCTAGGATTCATACTCCTGCCGGATAATGCTTATCCTTAACATCCCCCCCACTGCTTAAACCAAGTGGGATGGTTTTTATCATGGCCGAACTACCATATGACCGAAATAAAACTGGCTATGCAGAGCTACAGAGTAAGCCGAACTATCCTTAGCTCGGTATTTGCTTTCACTCCTCCTTATCTCGGTTCTCTCTTGTTCAACCCATGGTGTGTTTAGACCGAGCTACCGAGTAGCAAGGTTTTGACCATTCTAACCTCAATACATCATGACCGGACTACCTCTGAGACCGGTCTAACTCCAAGTTGCTTCCGGACCGGAGTAACTTTACAATTTTGGTAGATGGATGGATATTGATAATTGATAAAAGGTGGGCATTGATATAACTCAAATAACCATATCCTGATTTCATCATTTGAAGGAGAAAATGGGCTAAACTAGCCTAACCTTAAGAGATTGTAAGGAAGAAAGTCAAATACACCAAACAAGTAATTCATTTTCTTATAATTTGTTTGATGTCCTAATAATCTGTCAATATGTAAAAATAAGTGCAAGATTATTTATCAAAACAAATCAAATCAAAATTCACTAAAATACCCCATTCAATACATCATATTAACAAAATTTAAATTTATTTTATCACTAAAAAAAAAAGATTGCTACTAATTTCCAAAAAATACATCAATGTTCAGAAATGATTTTAATTACAAACAAACAAATGCAAAATTATTTACCAAATCAAATCAAATCAAATCAAAATTAAATAAAATACCTAATCAATGCATCAAATTAACAAAATCTAAATTCTTTTATCACTAAAAAATTAAAATTGCTACTAATGTAATTTGAAATCAATCATTCAATCCCCCAAAATTACACAATTATGATTTACTTACACACGAAGTCAATACTTTCATTGAATCCTACAAGCTTGAAAGAATTTTATGGACAATACATAATTTAATTTATTTACAATTAAAAAATATATATTCAAAACAAAATCTTAAAAATATGAATAATAAATTATTATTAGTATCATATATAGTACCTTGCAAGTTGTAACTTGTAATTGAGAGAGGAGAATTGAAAATGGTATAAATACACTGTGCACAATTTGTATAATTGTTGGATCGAATTGATTTTCTAAAAGGTTATTTACATGGACACCATTTAAACTATAAAAAAATGTCTAAATAGACCCCTTAAACTTTAAAAAAATATCACCCCCCCAACGACGTTAACAAAATGTGATAAATTTACTAATATATCCCCGAGATATTTGTATCACCATTCTCTCTCTAAACCAACCTCTCACTGTCACTCACACTTTCTCTCAGGATCTCTCATCTCTCTCTTCCAAAGTAGAGAACCCAAAATGTAGTTCTCTCCAAACAGTCAAATATCTAAAATCCTAATCAAGGTTGAACAAGCAGTTGAAATATAGCGATCCTGGTTTTGCCCCAGCCTTCATTGTGTTCTAGACTCAGGTTCCATAATTGAATTTTGTATCCATGTCTTGTTTTTCCTCCTTTCACCCTTTGTACTTGTGTTTTAGAACTTGTTAGGCGTGTT